ACAAGGAGAAAATTAAAAAAAATAAAAGTAGAGAAACATGAGAAAATTAAAGCAGAAACAAATAACTAAGAAAAGAGGAGGAAAGAATGAAAAGCATTAATAAATGTTTTAAACAAAATAAGTAAAAAAAGAAAAAGAAGAAATGTTGGAAAGAAAAATACCTGTTCAAAAAATAAGAAAAACTAATAAATAATAATAAATCGCAAAAGCAAGTTGTTTCTGAAGTTGAAATCCAATTCTATGTACTAAAATTAATTTATTATTTTTAAAATAATTGCAGTTACTTATTCCCCTTTAAAAAGTCTTTACAATACAGAACGCTTTGATTCATGTCGAATGTTTCACAAAAAATAATACTTTTTAATAAAAAATGTTTAATCCCATTAATTTTTTAGTAAAAGAAACACAAGAAAAAAATTATTTAGAAAAAACAAAAGTGGAGAAACGTGAGAAAATTTAAAAAATTAAAAAATGATTAAGAAATGAAGAGGGAAGATTGAAAACCAAAGCAAAAAACAAGAGAAATCTAAAGTGTCAATAGATGTATAAAAAAATAGAAATATAAAAAATATTAAAAAAAAAGAAAAACTATTAAATCATAATGAATTTTTTGCTTCTGAAGTTGGCATTTAATTTTGTGCACTAAAATTGACTTTAAAAATAAAAAATTAACATTGATTAGCACGTTTTTATGCATTTTTCATCAATTTTCTAGATACTTCCAAAAGATCAATTTTTTGCATCTTTTCTAAGTATATTTTTACGTAAAAAAAACAAGAAAAAAATGTTAAAAAAATAAAAGTGAAAAAACGTAAAAAAATTAAAGTAGGTAGAAATAAAATGTCTAAGAATATAAGGAGAGAGAATGAAAACTGAAATAAAAGACGAGAGATCTCTATAACATCAATAGATGTGTAAAAAAATACGAAAAACTAATAAACAATAATAAATTGCAAAAGCAGTTGCTTCTGAAGTTGACATCCAATTTTATGTAAGTACTAAAATTTACTTATTACAAAAAATGTTACTTAACACTAATAATTCAATAAAAATTGTTCAAACCGAAACTTCCAATTCATTCGACCAAAATTTTTTTTATTTTTTCTAAATACATTTTTCGTAAAAAAGACGGAAACAATTGTCAAAAAAATTTAAAAATTACTAAGAAATGAAGTGGTAAGATTGAAAAACAAAACAAAAAAGGAAAGAAAGCGTCAATAGATGCTTAAAAAAAAGAAGTAAAGAAAAAAAAGAAAAACTATTAAATCATAATGAATTGCAAAAGGAAGTTGCTTCTGAAGTTGGCATTTAATTTTGTGCACTAAAATTGCCATTATTTTTTTTACATTTATTTTATAGTCGAGAGAAATCACGTATTTGATAAAATATTGAAATTTTCCGATCACGAAATGGAGATGTTTTTGCCGGCGTCGTCCCATCTGTTGCAAAAATCGCACTAAAGGTCAGTTCCTAATCGACTCGCCACCATCTGGCCCCAACCCCGAGTAAATTAGCCCCGACGATGTCGAAATAATACCCCCGTGTGTATTTTTTTCCACTCAAAATGAAAGAAGGGCAAGGGTGAATTAAAATTTTCACGGCCAATCCTCGTAAAAATAAATTCCTTTGTGATTTTTTTCAAATGCGGTCAAGGGAGATATTGAAAAATCTCTTACAAGGTGAATAGATTCACCATAAGGGGAGAAAAATCTCAGACATAAATCTTCCGCACCAAGAGACACCACCAGGATTCGGTCGTTTGCAGGGGCTCAATTTATGACCTAAATGAATGAAAAACACTGAAAATCCTCCCTCCCTTGCGAGCGTTCCAAATTCAAAGACACGAAATTGAATTAAAAACTTCCAAGAATCCAGTTTAATGCTGAAACGAAATTCAGTTGCGATTTTCAGGTGGCGGCTTTTATTTAGCGTGACCAACGCACGAATGACATGTTTATTTAAGGGTTGCAACCACCCTGAGCACGTCGCAGGAATCAATTTGTCCCTGAGAGGCTGTAACATGTCAAGTTTCCCCTTCTTACGTATCTCGAGGGTATCGAAACCACACTCTTTATCTTAAAAGATAATTTTTTTTTCAGTTCGAGCGATTGTTATTCAGGAGGTGTTTAGTTTTGGCAAGGGACCAATTTGTTTAAATTAGTTTTCCTGTTTGTAATTAAACGTGCAAACGCCGTTATGTCTCTTTCTGTTTGTATTTTTTGGACTTATTTCCGCCACATATCCGGTCACGAACGTCACTGAAACGGTTCGAGTTTTGTGTATGGAATGCACGTCGACTGAAATCCACCCACCCTCTAGTGTTTTTGCCAGGCGATGTTTCTGAATATGAAAAATACATGCGCTAAAGAACATCTACTTACACAAGAACCTCAGTTTTGCGATTATGCATGCGAAATAAAACTGTTTTATTCGGTTCTCGGGAACTACAAGGAAAACACCCTCACGTGCATACTGAAAAGATGGAGATTTTTGCGATTTATGGACACTTTTGGGGCTATTTATTTCGATTTCGAAACAACCAGACAAGCTGATTTTTATCGTATATCGACGCAAGTTACTAGAATTTTGTATAGCTAGTGGATTTTTTATTCAGCGCTTTCTGTAGTGTTAGATGTTAAATTTTTGTATTCAAAGTCAAAATACAAAAATAGTACATAAATGTGTTTTATATGTAATTTAATAGTTTTTCTTTTTTTCAAATATTTCTTTTTTTCTTTTTCCTACTTCTTTTTTTTAAGCATGTTTTGTTTTTCAATCTTCCCACTTCATTTCTTAGTAATTTTATTAAAAATACTCTCACGTTTTTACTATTTTTTTGACATTTTTTTCCATCTTTGTTACGAAAAATCTATTTTGAAAAAATAAAAAAAAATGGGTCGAATGAATTGGAAGTTTTTATTTTAACAATTTTTTATTGAATTATTAGTGTTAAGTAACATTAAAAAACTTATTTTTTTGTAATAAGTAAATTTGTCAATTTCAGAAGCAACTGCTTTTGCAATTTATTATTGTTTATTATTTTTTCGTATTTTTTTACACATCTATTGATGTTTTAGAGATCTCTCGTCTTTTATTTTAGTTTTCATTCTTTCTCCTTCTATTTTTAGACATTTAATTTCTTCCTACTTTAATTTTTTTACGTTTTTCCACTTTTATTTTTTTAATATTTTTTCCTTGTGTTTTTTTACGTAAAAACATACTGCGAAAAGATGCAAAAAATTGATTTTTTGGGAATATCTAGAAAATTGATTAAAAATGCATAAAAAACGTGCTAATCCATGTTAAATTTTTGTTTTTAGTCAATTTTAGTGCACAGAATTAAATGCCAACTTCAGAAGCAACAAATTCATTATGATTTAATAGTTTTTCTTTTTTTTTCAAATATGTTTTTATTTCTATTTTTTTATACATCTATTGATAGAGTTCTATCGTTTTTTGTTTTGGTTTTCAATCTTCCCTATTCTTTTCTTAGTCATTTTTTAATTTTTTTAAATTTTCTCACGTTTAACCACTTTTGTTTTTCCTAAATAATTTTTATTAAAAAGTTTTATTATTTGTGAAACATTCGACATAAATCAATGCGTTCTGTATTGTAAAGATTTTTTAAAGGGGAATAAGAAACTGCAATTATTTTAAAAACAATAAATAAATTTTAGTACATAGAATTGGATTTCAACTTCAGAAACAACTTGCTTTTGCGATTTATTATTATTTATTAGTTTTTCTTATTTTTTGAACAGGTATTTTTCTTTCCAACATTTCTTCTTTTTCTTTTTTTTACTTATTTTGTTTAAAACATTTATTAATGCTTTTCATTATTTCTTCCTCTTTTCTTAGTTATTTTTTTCTGCTTTAATTTTCTCATGTTTCTCTACTTTTATTTTTTTTAATTTTCTCCTTGTGTCTCTTTTACGAAAAAACCTATTTAGAAATCTGAAAAAAGTGATTTTTTGGACGCAGATATCTAGAAAATTGATTAAAAATGCATTTCTTCATTTATTGGTATCAACATTTTTTATTAAAATTGTCCTCTGTAAAACATTTGAAATGATTTAAATTAGCGCTTTCTGTAGTGTTAAGAAATTGTTTTTTTTAATAACTGCACTTTAAAACCAGTTTCTGTGACCTGTTGACTGTGATTTTTTAAAAAAGGGGCTAATCAATGTCAAATTTTTATTTTAAAGTCAATTAGCTTAACAAAAATAACAAATAAATTTTAGTGCATAAAATTGGATGCCAACTTCAGAAGTAACTTCCTTTTGTAATTCATTATGATTTAATAGTTTTTCCTTTTTTTTTTAATGTCTCTTTTTTTCGTTTTTTTTGCTTCTCRTTTTTTAAACATCTATTGACGCTTTAGTCTTCCCACTTCTTTTCTTAGTAATTTTTTTCATTTTTCTTTTAATTCTTCACGTTTCTCCACTTTATTTTTTTTTAATTGTTTCCGTCTTTTTTTACGAAAAATCTACTTAGAAAAAATAAAAAATAAATATTTTTTTAGAAAATTGATTAAAAATACGTTTCTTATTTTATTAATATTAAGTGAACATTTTTTATTAAAATTTTCCTCTGATGAATCCCCCAAACACGGGTTCGCTCCTTCCCCCAAGTCCCCCAAACCGCTGCCCATAGTTAACCCCAACATCCAAGGCACTGTTTCTGTCTTTGAAAAGATTTCGTGTTGCTTCAACCCCAACTTGAGTGCCAAAACGGCCCGCATTGAGTGCTTCTACCCCCAAAGCAGTATTACTGGGCTTATTTTGATAATCTACTCTTCCTCCAAGCACAGTTGGGGCATCTCTGTTGACGAAATTTTTCTCGAATTTTCCAGTTGCATCAACTCGGTGGTTGCCATTCTCTAAGACTTTTTCACGGTGTTGGAGATTGAGGACTCCCGGGTCCTCAAAGTGCCATTTCGTTTCTCTAAAATATAAAGTGAGATCAGAAATAAAGTGAGACTTTTACCTTTGACGATCTTCCGGTTTTGGCAGAAGATCTTTAGGGGCGGCTGAAGCAAGTGCCAACACGGCGATGATTACGATTTTTTGCATTTTGAATTGTTGAAATCTTCTCAACGAGTGACTGATGAAAAGTCGATTTGTTGCTGTTTTATAGTGTAAGAAATGTGATTCCCAGTGCGAAAAACCGAACACGAACTTGAATAAGTGTCATAAAAACAAAGATAAGTGATTAAGAGCTCACGGAAATTGTACTTTACACTTTTAAAAACTGGTTTCAAGAATTTGAAACATTTGACATTTTTGGAACCAACACCAAAAAACTTGAAAAATAAAAAATCACAATTTTAAAAAAAATTTTAACACGTGTTTTTTTCTTCTCCGACGTTTTTTTTATTTTTTGGCGTTGTTTGGATTTGTTATTAACAGCTATTCTTTTCTTTCTCTTTGTTTGTTTTTTTACATTTTTTCCTAATACCTAATGATTAATGTTTTTTTTTAAATTTTTTTGGCGTTTTTTTTTTGAATTTTTTTATTAACAGCTATTCTTTTCTTTCTCTTTGTTAATTTTTATTTTGTTTCTAATACCTAATTTTTTTTTCATTTTTTGGCGTTTTTTGGATTTTTTTATTAACCGCTATTCTTTTCTTTCTCTTTGTTTTTTTTTTAGATTTTTTACTAATACCTAATGGTAAATGTTTATTACTACTTATAACAAAAATTATTATTAGCACGTGTTTTTTTCTTCTCCAACGTTTTTTTTAAATTTTTTGGCGTTTTTGGATTTTTTATTAACAGCTATTCTTTTCTTTCTCTTTGTTTGTTGTTTTTTAGATTTTTTACTAATACCTAATGGTTAATGGTTATTACTACTTATAACAAAAATTATTATTAGCACGTGTTTTTTTCTTCTCCAACGTTTTTTTTTTAATTTTTTGTCGTTTTTGGATTTTTTATTAACAGCTATTCTTTTCTTTCTGTTTGTTTATTTTTTTTTATTTTTTTTTCTAATACCTAATAAATGTTTTTTTTTTCATTTTTTGGCGTTTTTTGGATTTTTTTATTAACAGCTATTCTTTTTTTTCTCTTTGGTTATTTTTTACAATTTTTTACTAATACCTAATGATAGATAAATGTTTATTAACACTTATAACAAAAATTATAGTGTTTTTTATTTTCAACAGGCTTGAAGGTTAAACTGGACCGAACTTAGAAACAACTTTTTTTGCAATTCACTGTTAGTTTTTCTTTTTTTTTTGAATCGGTAATTTTTCTTCCTCAACATTTCTTTGTTTTTTTAATTCTTTTTTTTTGAAACATATATTGACGTTGAAAGTTTTCTTGTCTTTTATTTTGGTTTTCACCCTTTTTTCTTTTTTTCTAGTCGAAATTTGTTCGTTTTTTTAGTTGTAATATGTTTTTTCCACTTTTATCTTTCTTTTGTGTATTTTTTCTCATTATTTCCTGTGAGTACAGGCTTTTTTACATTTTTTGTCTGTTTGACTAGTTTGTAGCAGTAATTTTATCTTTTGTGTATTTTTTTAAAACTAGTACTATAAATTTTTTATCGAATTACGTAAAAATCATCTTTTTTGGACATATCCAATGACGAAAAAAATAAAACACCTGTAGTTTCCGCTTCCGAAAAAACTTGTGAAAAAATATGGAAATGCGGTTTGTATTAAACTGTCTTTTCACCTCCTCACAAATTTTAATAAAAACGTAAAATTTCTTTGTGTTATTTTTTCAAAAACTCGTTAATTTTTTGAACAGTCAGTTTCCATCTTCTCTTAAAATATAAATTTTTTGTATTTTTAGTTTATCTCAGAACTGAACACATGTAAGATAATTGCTTTTGCTGCAGACAATATTCCTCGTAGTTGAATTCCTTTTTATTTTCTAGCTACATGAAATGAAATTGCACTCGAGATGCGCTACTTTTTAAACCAATTTAGATAAGATTTGTGAATGTCAATGTTCGCATCTTGGATAATTATTTTGATTAACAGGATTTAAAGCGTCAGACCCAAATAATACATCGTAATTGTCAACATCCTGCAAGATTGTGATTTTAAAACGGAAGTTGACTAACTTTTGTCGAATCATTCTGAAAGTTTGTGTTTATATTACGTAAAAATAATTGTGCACTGAAGCATGGAAGCGAATTAGCCTTGAAAAAAATCGAGTGAAAACGGGAAAATGAAGCGTATTTTCTTATTCTACCATGACCCAATAAAATGAAAGCAATTAATGCGATTGTGTGCACAGTTATCGACTTATCTCTGGTGCACTTTCAAGATAATTTAATTCGTTATTAATGCCAGTGTTGCCAGCTCATCAGTTCAAGATTATATTATGATTTAATTTTTAGTCCAAGATTCACGTTCTTTACACAAATGTGCTCGAAAAATACAATTTAATTCTATAATTTTTTGGCTAGTTTTTAATTAATTTTTGCGAAATACTGGGTGGAAAAAAATCTGTAGGCAACAATGGATTAGTGGTAATTCCTCTAATTTGTTATATCAGAATGTTTCAGGTGACATTGCCTATAAAAGTTTGACGTTTAAATTTGAAAGTCAATGTTGCCAAAATTAAAATTAAATTTGACACCAAATTATTTACAGTCACGTTTGATGAAAACAAAAATACGGACTTAATTTGTTATTGTTTTGGTTTGTTTTAGCAAAATCTTGCAATTAACACCATTTTCGACCATATTTTGGATTTTTTGTCCCATTTTTTTGACAAAATTTTACTCAAAAAGAGCTAAATCGAATGAAACAAAAAAACAAAAATAACATCAATTTAGATTTATTTTTGTTGTGTTTAAGCATGTTTTGACAATATTCTGCAAAATAAATGAGTCTTTGGTTCAAAAAACGAACTAAATCAAGCGAGACACGCTAAAATGATGTCAATTTCAATCTAATTTGGTAATTTTTCAGTCAGTTTTAGCAAAAATTTAAAAACGTCCTTAACACTAGAAATGGAAAAATACTTTTGGCTTAATTTGATAAATTTTCGGTTCATTTTTAACGAAATTTTGCACAATGTTTCTGGCTAAGAACATACTAAAACTCTCAGAAATTGACAAAATACTGTACTTTTTGATCAATTTTAGCGATTTTTTTACCTTGTTGAGTGAAATATCATTTATCATCTCTCAATTTTTCAACTTGTTTTTAAGAAAATTTTATTTCAGTTTCTGCATGGCTAAAAAACGTGCAAAATGCTCAAAAAAATAAAAAAAACAGTGTCATCATTTTTGACGAATTTACTACATCAATAATTAAAAAAGTTAATTTTGCTAACATTTTTGCGAATATTGGATTAAAAAAAAATATTTCAAAATACATTAATTTTCTGCTGGAACTAGAGTCACGTTTCTAAAAAATCAACAGTAGAAGGCAAAAATAATGTCTTAATTCGATGTTTTGTTTTATTTGTTTTAGCAAAATCTTGCAATTAACATCATTTTCGATCATATTTTGTGTTTTTTCTCCCATTTTTTTGACAAAATTTCACTCAAAAAGAGCTAAATCGAATGAAACAAACGAAATAACATTAATTTAGATTTATTTTTGTTGTGTTGAAACATTTTTTGGCAATATTCTGCAAAATAAATGAGTCTTTGGTCCAAAAAACGAACTAAATCAAACGAGACACGCTAAAAAGATATCAATTTCAATCTAATTTGCTAATTTTTCAGTCAGTTTTAGCAAAAATTTGAGTGTGTTTTAAAAACGTACTGAAACACTCTAAAAATGCAAAAGTAACACTAGTTTTGGCTTAATTTGATAAATTTTCGGTTTGTTTTTAACGAAATTTTGCAAAATAGTTCTGTTTCTGGCTATAAACAAAAAAAACCCTCAGAAATGGCCAAAATAATGTGCTTTTTGACCTATTTTAGCGATTTTTTTTACCTTGTTGAGTGAAATATTATTTATCATCTCTGGATTTTTTAACTTGTTTTTAAGAAAATTTTATTTCAGTTTCTGCATGGCTAAAAAACGTGAAGAATGCTCAAAAAATATAAAAAAGAAGTGTCATCATTTTTGACTGAATTTACTATATTAATAATTAATAAATTAAATTAAAAAAGTTAATTTTACTAACATTTGGGCAAATACTCGAAAAAAATATTTCATAATATATTAATTTTCTGCTAGGTTTCTAAGAAATCATCAGAAGAAGGCAAAAATAATGACTTAGTTTGATGTTTTTTTGCTTTATTTTAGCAAAATCTTGCAACTAACACCATTTTTGACTATGTTTTGTATTTTTCGTCCTATTTTTTTGACAAAATTTCACTCAAAAAGAGCTAAATCCAATGAAACAAACGAGATAACATTAATTTAGATTTATTTTTGTTGTGTTGAAACATCTTTTGACAATATTCTGCAAAATAAAGGAGTCTTTGGTTCAAAAAACGAACTAAATCAAGCAAAACACGCTAAAATGATATCAATTTCAATCTAATTTGGTAATTTTTCAGTCAGTTTTAGCAAAAATGTGAATGTATATTTTAAAAACGTGCTGAAACACTCTGAAAATGCAAAAATAACACTAGTTTTGGCCTAATTTGATAAATTTTTGGTTTGTTTTTAACGAAATTTTACAAAATAGTCCTGTTTCTGGCTAAAAACATACTAAAACCCTCAGAAATGGACCAAATAATGTACTTTTTGACCTATTTTAGCGATTTTTTTACCTTGTTGAGTGAAATATCATTTATCATCTCTCGATTTTTCAACTTATTTTTGAGAAAATTTATTTGAGTTTTTGCATGTCTAAAAAAACTGCAAAATGCTCAAAAAATATAAAAAAGTAGTGTCATCATTTTTGACTGAATTTACTATATTAATAATTAATAAATTAAATTAAAAATGTTAATTTTACTAACATTTGGGCAAATACTCGAAAAAAATATTTCAAAATATATTAATTTTCTGCTAGGTTTCTAAGAAATCATCAGAAGAAGGCAAAAATAATGACTTAATTTCATGTTTTTTTTGCTTTATTGTAGCAAAATCTTGCAGCTAACACCATTTTTGACTATGTTTTGTATTTTTCGTCCTATTTTTTTGACAAAATTTCACTCAAAAAGAGCTAAATCGAATGAAACAAACGAAATAACATCAATTTAGATTTATTTTTGTT